CTCCCGTACAGGCCTGATTTTTTTCAGGTCTGATTTTCGCTATTGCTTAAATAGCGCTATCTACTGCGAGGATCATGTATCATATATTAGCTGAGTTTGTCGACAACTTGGTTGACTTTGCTGACAACGAAGATGAACTTGCCATATTTTTTAGTTGAGAGTGCCAGCAACTGAAGTGAGTTCTCTGGCAAGTTGGAAGAGTTCACTGACTAGTCTGATTAGTTTGGTGACAACTCCAACGAGTTTGCTGACAATGACATTTTGTAAATGACATATACATACGCTACTTTCATGAATGGCTGCCGGATTGATATTCTTTTGTTTAAATTCAAATTAGCTTCACTAGCCTTGCTTGAGATAATGCATTCTTTTGAATTTTGAACTGGAGAATGAGGCCAGAAGGGCTAATTTAAATTTAAACAAAAGAATATCAATCCGGCAGCCATCTATGAAAGTGGTCAATAGCTCAGACTTTTGTGGTCTCAGTCTTTTTGGCCATCCTTAGTAATTATGATGTCAGCTTTTTGGACTCTGTTTTCTTGTAACTGAGTGCTGTTTGTGATATATTTTCAGTGCCTTCCAAAGGGAGCAGTACCAAGTCATCTGATATGGTCAAACTAGAACCAATGATGAAACTTGTTCTTCACTGTATTGACAGGGTTAGACGGTTTAAACTCGGAAAGGAGGTTTGTTAAGCTTTATCTCATTTCTGTAATGTTATGTCAAATGTGTTCGCTTTCTCCTGCTTGCTTCTAGCTTGTTTTCTTGAGTGTTGAGATCTTTTAAGTTTTTTTTCATATGATTTTCCTCAATATCCTTGACTATGGATGGGCTGGTGGGGTAGCAGTTTGTCACCTGTTACCACACTCTGTTACGTTTTCTATTACTGACCCTTGTAACCAACTGTGTTTTGTTTGCTTCAGGCCAAAGCTAAGGCTGACAAAAATCGACGAGAACTCGAGGAAAGTCTACTGAAACAGTCTCATGCTCAAAGGCAAGAAGTGAGTGAAAATTAATGGTAATGTTGGAAATAATCCGATTTTGAACGCTTCTCTTCAGTGCCGAATGGGCCACCTTTGGTTGCATGCACATATTCTAGTTTGTCCACTGTACCCAAAATATCTTTGGGAAGAATACTTTCCTTCCTATGTCTGAGTTGAGAAGAAGTGCTGCCACATGATGTAACAAACTGATAATAGTTGAGATCAGTACTACTGACTGATAAGAGCAAGTGCCTTGGTAACCTCCCTGGCCACATACGCAGAACTAATACCTTTTGTGAGTTGTTCACTCTTCTTTTCCTGTGTTTCTGGCAGTTGGCGTGATTCAAAGTCGAGCTCTCATTGGCTGTTAGCAATATTTTTCTTATAATCGGCCATTTTCATCACATTGGTTTGATCTTGCGACGCTCAATTGAAATGTACTTCAACCTCTGTGGGATTGTTCTTTTGATTTACTTTCATGTGATAACAAGCAAACAAGAGAGATAAGAAATCTTGGGATCAACAAAAAAGTGGGTTTAGTTGTGGCAGTAGTGGCCTTTTTATGAAAAGATTGCTCTGTCACGACTAAAAGTTTGATCATTGAGTAGTTTCAAGGTTAACCGTATTTTTCGTTCACAATTAAAGGCTGCACAACAACGTCGCGAAGACAAAGTAAGAGCTGAGAAAGAACGAATCATGCAAGAAGATGACCCAGACAGGCAGCGGAGGCTGGAGGTTGGTTTACATGGAACTTGTGTGACATGAAAAGTAGTCTACCCAAGGGATGACTTAAGGCTTATTTGATAACATTGAGTGAACATTTCCTTTTCTGGTTTGTTTCAGGAGAGAGAACACAAGAAGGAAATGAAGAAAAGAAATCCATTCAAAGTGAAGCAAGTCAAAGCACGTGGCTGAAGGAAAATTTTGAGAACTTGTTTGATGCTGGATGATGCAAGTTTCTTTTTTTGTCTTTTTCCAAATTTTTCTGTAACACTGTAATTTGCTTTACAATATTTTCAGAGGTAAAATGGAGTTTGTAGAATCATGAACTACCGATTCTAGCCTCTAATGATTAATAGAAGCAAATTAACGTTAATTTTAACAACAGATGTGTTATTTATTTCTTGTTTACATATTTTGGTGTTTTTTGTTACACCATGTCCAGGTTATTTCATATTTTGGAGATTCGTCCCAATTTTCATTTTGTTTCAGTCTTTCATGATTATTACTTGTACAGTCGAACCTCGATTATCCAGACCACTGGGGACTGGCCCGAACAGTCCGGATAATCGAGAGTCCGGATAATTGAAAAGATGAATATTAATGAGTCAACACTGAATACATTTGTAAACCATAACATTTAATTGAGAATCATGCAAGAATGAACCACAATCACAAGCCATTTCTGACTACAATTTACTACTGTGCATGTTAGGTGCATTTAAGATCACTCGGGCAATAACAATAACCTTGCCCAAAATTGTCTTTTGATGCGAAACAAATCCAGTTCTGACTGGAATTTTATAACTCAGTTCGGCATATGATAGCTTTCCTATGGATAATAAATGTGACTAATTAATATTCATGAAAAAGGGGACCAGAAAAGCTAGTCCGGATAATCAAGAAATCCAGATAATCAAGGTTTGACTGTATTTGGTTGTTATCTAAGAACCAAGACTAACTGCATAATTTAATGTTACAAACAGCTGGCTGTCAATCTCTACCCCTGTGACCTCATGATTATCATATATTTAATGGCTCTTAGCTGTCTTTGTATTTTTGGTTGTTCGTAATATCATAAAAAGAAGATATAACTGGTTTGTTGCTTGTGTACTTTTTTGGGTCAATAAGACAGGAAGCTGCATCAAAGGGAAGTTGTAAATCAACCGTTTTTTTTTAAGGTGCAAATGCTTAAAACCCCAAAGCAGATCAAATGATGTTCCTTTGTTTGAAGCAAAAGAAAGGTGCCAGTCATAAAAAAGTTAGTTCAGTTGTAGCCTATCTTCCATCCTTTATGCCTCCAATTTTCCATAACATCAGTGTGATAATAATGCGATAGCCAGATGGTCAGTCGCTTCCCCAAATTCTTCTCTCTCACTTAAAGCATTCCAATGAGCAGACCTCGGCTTTTCTGAGAATTGGGAAATCATGGAACAAAAGTTTCGAGAGCATTGTCGTCTATTTTGAGTCAGGATTTCTGCTTTCTAAAATAAGTGTCTTCGGGAAATAGTTGTGGCGTAATATTAAAGAGGAAGGGATTTTGTGAATCCGGAAAGCTTTGTTAGTCCAGAACAGATGTAAATACTGATAGTTTTCGACTGAATCTCATGCTCCAAATATTTTTAGCACAGAGGTAAAAAAAAATTGTTTTGTTAACCCACTGTCCCTGCAACTTTAAATACATTTCCTTATTTAAACACATCGTCCGGGAACTATAACTCGTTCAAAATACGAACGTGTTTGGTAGTTTTAGTTCACACTAATCAAAAATTTAAAAATAGCTACATCGATTTCCACTTCCGGAGTTACGAACTTCCGGAAACTTCTCTTACTCGTTCAGTTACGTCACATCACATCCATGCGAGGCTTAGAGCATGCGTGATTTGGCCCGACTCAGAGAAGTGTCGATTTCGGAAGTCAAGGTAGTACAAACATCGGCTGAAGAGATCTTTTGCCTAAATCCTGGATTTTGTCCCGATTCCTTTATAATAACGTTACTTTCATGGGCATGAGATGGGACTTTTGTTCGCCAAATTGTTTAGTTGGTTCAGTAATGAAGGTAGGTGTAAAGCGTACGGTTAGCGTGCCCTTGCCTGTAGAAATATCAGAGACAAAATCTTATTACATGTATCTTTGCCTTTTACTTAACCCTACAGGTTCTATTCCATTTTGGATTTACTTTGATCTTTAAATTAAGGAAGATCGTTCTTTATGGCGTTTTCTTCTGGAAACAAATTAACCCCGTAGGAGCCTGTGTCTGCATGTACGTTGTGCATGAATGTGATAATATTTGTGACGAGGGTGCGAGGGCGAATTGAAACTCTTCGAGGAACGATTCGATTTTTGTTGTTATTGTACTCTTTTCCGGCGAAGAAGAAGTAGTGACGTATTCTTATGAACCTAAGTACGTTTCATTGTTTTCGAGAAAGGATACTACCGATTTATTCAATGCGATATTCAAGGACTCGCATCTATCTTACAACAAAGTAGCTAGATTTTTTGAAGAAACATTTCCACATATACGGTATGTTGTCTCCATAAAACGGTAATATAAAACTGGGTAAAGCGATATTTTGGAAGAGTGGAACCCATGAACAACATCAGGCCTGGAATTCCTTTGAGTATATATAAATATTGTTGTACTCAAATCTGTGGTAAGCTAATGGCAATTAGCCGGTGAATATAATAGTTTCTGTTGTGTAGGGTTTCCCCAAATGTACAATTTGCCTAAATAAACATTTGAATCAATAAGGAAATATTGTGGAGTGGTTAGTAAAGTGAGTCAATTCTGTTGAAGTGACGTAATGAAAAAATATTACCCTCATTCTTGCATTCTTTTGATTCCAGTTTTCTGTTGACAAAAACTAAATAAATTTATCATGTAACTTTTTGCATCTAAATTTTGAAAATGAGCACAATTTTTTAACAACTTATTGAGTAATGATCAGCTACTTTCAGATCATACTTAACTTGAACTAGATTCTCACATCATAGAAATTAAACTTGAATGTCTTTGATGAAACATAATCAGTTAATAGTGGACAGTTAAGACTGAAAACTGTTTGATTCGCTCATATGGTTGAAGGGGCTACTTATTCTGAAGATTAGCCCACCAGGGATCAACGTTGTCAGGTTTTATTTGTACTAGAGTGAGACACGGCTCGTTACATCCGTGGTTACATCGTACAAATAAAACCTGACTTATTCGAAGCTGGTCATCAACGGTCGTAAAAATGCAAACATGAAGATAAAGCACTGAGATAGCGAATCAAGGGATCCGACTACACAGAAACACAAATTTTGACTGATAACGCTGATCCCTGGTGGGCTAATCTTCTGAATAAGTAGCCCCATCAATCATAGGAGCAAATCACTGTTGCTATAAATTTTTTTTGAATTGGGGGCTTGGTTCATTTTTGCCAGATATAAAATCTGACTTGAATGAGAACAAGAACGTCATCTTTCTGTTTCAGGGGATACAAATTTTGTAACAGGAGTTTAGGAGTTGATTATTAAGAAAAATTGACAAAGTACAAAATATGATGTACCATTGCTTGCAGTTAGCTACAGCTATTCGAGGCAAGCAGTGGATTGATGCATTAAATTACATATGGACATACAAATTATACTAAGGGGAATTACAATTACAATACTAAGTATAATTAATTATTATCATACAATACATTATAATAGACTTACAGAACTAAGAATTAAGTAGGAATGGTAATGTGGAGAGTGGTGTGACTATATTGAATTGTAGAATAAATTGTGATGCAATAAAAAAAAATTTATTTACAGAACACAAGGTGATTATTGTGGGCTTGGATAATGCAGGAAAAACAACAATTTTGTATCAATTGTAAGTATCAAAATTTAGCTTGTAGTAATTTGTTTACACTGAAGTCATGTTTTGGAACTATCTCAATGTTTATCCTTTTCAAAATTGTCTTACAGTTTAATGAGTGAAGTAGTTCATACATCACCAACAATAGGCAGTAATGTAGAAGAGGTAAGCCTACAAAACTAAATATTTTGAGGAGTAGAATATATTGAAAATCTTGTGACACTCATGTATTTATAGTCAGCTGCTTCCTTTTGGCAAGCTTATAAGTGGCCAGATAGTTCTTTCAAGCTGTGTGACAAAATTTTCAATTTGTTTTGAATTGTGCACAGGTTTTTATCAAGTACTGTAAATTTCAAAATATTTATCTTTGGCACCTTTTAACCCTTAATCCCAGAGGTGATGAACAGGTATCTTCTCCTTATTATATCCAGCAAACAAGAAATGAGAATACTTAAACTTGTTAAGTAGAAATTGATATCTTGATCCAACATCAAATTCTTGTAATTAATTTTCATGGTACTGTGTATTAGATAGAGAGGAGAATTCACATTCAGATCTTGGGAATGGTGCATGATTGTGTGTTCTTTTCTTTCAATTTTAGGTTGTATGGAAAAATATTCATTTTTTGATGTGGGACATAGGAGGCCAAGAATCACTAAGATCAGCATGGAACACATATTACACGAATACAGAGGTATACAAGGCTATTTAACTTTGGTGATTCTGAAATAGTTTTCACAAGTACAGATAGTAATTTGCAAAGTTCTCATAACCTCTTTGAAGTCCTGTGATGATTAATGATTAGGGATTTTTTATCATCTTTTTGATAAGAAAATAGCTATTCTTAATCAAGTTGTTTCTCTTTCAGTTTTTAATTTTAGTTGTAGATAGCACTGATAGGGAAAGACTTGCTGTATCAAAAGCAGAACTGTACAACATGTTAAATCATGAGGTAAGATTGTTCAGGAATGTGAAAGAGCCACCATCACTCTGAATGCATGGTGAGAATTCTATGAAATGGGAAGTTGTCAATTTGGAAAAATTAGCCAGTCAGAATGCAGCGTTTGTTAAATTAGTAAAAGCAAAATAAATGGAGTCTCAGATAGTGATTTTAAGTGAACATAGGTGTTGAATCACCCTTGCCAAGGTTTACCCTGGCTGAAGTCTTGAAAAAATGTTTATTTTTATGAATAGGTGGTCAATAAACCTACTTCAGTTTATTTCAAGATGCCCAAGTGACATTTGTGAGTCTTGTCTTCACCTTAGTGCCAGTAGACTGATACCTGACAGTGAAAGATCAGGGAGGGGGGGAGGGGATGGGGGCCATTTGAGGTGAATTGCTCTAAGGAACTTGATTTTTCTCAAGCGTTTACCATAACCTTTGTTTTCCCTCCCCCTTCCCAAATTCTTTTTTGGGCAGAATCTGCTTCTGTCTCAGCATGGTAAGTATAAACAGGGGGGGAGGGGTGATCAGTTCCCCACTGAGCTCACCTGTTACTTAGGGGACAAACAATCCACAACTGGATCTGGATGTTATGGTTATTATCATTTGTTATGTTGATGCTGATGTAGAAGTTAATCCCCTTCCTACAAGCAGAATGCAGGAACTGATCACAAGGTTATAAATTAAAAAGTGTTATCTTTCCATGCTTATTATCATTTCATTCAGACTTGGTAGGACTTCTTTAGTGAACTGAGGGAAACAAAGCTGTCTGGTTGTGAGCTGTAACATTCTCCAGTTCTTATAGTACACATTTTTACCTTAATTTCTTTTGCTCTTGTTGTCTGTTGCTGTAGGATTTGAGACAAGCTGGAGTTCTTATATTTGCCAACAAACAAGACATAAAGGTTTGTTCTCTGTTTAAGCAGCTGCTTGATTTTAAGTTTATTTTAAAATGTTACTATCCAAGCACATTTTGGCATATTTGTAATGACATGACTTGTGTCACCTGCAAACTAGAATAATAAGAATGTATGAATAAAAACTACATCATAACAGATTAGAGATCTTTATGATTAACTATTATTTACTTTGGATACAAATGTAACTGCTTTCTGGCTCAGACAGACAGACAACCTTCATTTTAGCACGATAGTAATAAAAGCTATGCAGCTCATGGGGTCCTGCATAAATACTAAACTCGGAGTTATTCTCTCTCAGGGATCTATGAGTGTTGCAGAAATATCAGAACAATTAAATCTTACTTCAATTAAGGACCATGGATGGCATATACAGGTAAATAGTCACTGACACTATTCTACATTTTAATTCTAAAAGAAAACTAAAGAACCAACAAATTTTGTATGTTGCTCTAGGAGTATCAGTAGATATCTGATGACAAAGCATGTTAAAACTCTTATAACAGCTGGTTGCTGATGCAATAGAAAATTGACTGTTGACCAGAATTTTAATCATGGTTTTGCCAGATTTCACAGTGTTTTTGATAAACTGGTGCTCAGTCATTTTTCAATGACCAGCCTGGTTACTTTCTTTGTTGCACATTCATTTGGTGTTCATTGACCTGTAGATATAATTATGTTTAAGCAAAGAAAGGAAGGTCTTCCTATTTCACTGTGAGGTGAAAATATTACTTTCTAGACAGGTTGGAAACAAACTTGTGGCATCTGAATGATTGAAATAAAAATGTTTCATCTCCATTTTGCCCATGCATGACAGTAGATTTTGATGAGTAAGTGTGTACTAAGCTGAAAGGAATGTCATAGATGAATTCTGTTGACGAGTAATATCTATTTTTTTCTCTATTTAGGCATGTTGTGCCCTTACTGGGGAAGGGTGAGTAAGCTGGTAACTAATTGTTTAGTATAGTTTGTACTGCATTATACTTGGTGTCAGTGTGAGCTGAAGTAAGTTGTCCAGTTCTGGGTATAATTTGTGCTATTACTGTTGTAAAGAAAGATTGAGCACAAATATCTCATCTGCCTTTTGGTAATTTGTCTATAGAATGATATGCAGGAGTCAATTAGGATCCTTAGAGCTAAATTTGTGCAAAGGTGTAGTCTGATCGCCCGGGTGAGTTTAGTCCTGAGAAGGACTGTTGTCGGTGGTAACGACTGACATTTCGACAATCTGTGCAGAAGTCATCATCAGAGTCAAGTGAATGACTTTTGTCAGTAGAATGTTCTTATTCCAGTTCATGTAAAATGATCGGTTGGTTTTGCCGTGATGTTATTGGCTGTAAGACTCAAGTGACACAAGTCAGTTGTGATTGGTCTGTTTCGATCTGTTGGTAAAGTTAGGTCGTTCTTTTTCAGTCGTTTGTGATGTTTATGTCGTGAATGAGTCATAAATTTGTCTATAACAGGATGTGTAGGCAAGTGTGTATTAAACAAACATAAGCTATCAATGACTTATGTTTTTTTTTCCTTTTTTACAGATTGTACCAGGGGCTTGAATGGATCACCAATCATATTAGGAAGTAGACTTGTATTCTATATTTAATGCAAATAATCCAATTTATTTTATATAAAAAGCAGTTAAATTTTTTACTGAAATGACTGTACAGTAACAAAGCTCTCATTTATTTCTCTGTGTACATTAGTCACTGTATTGTTTCTTTTCCTTGTGGGAGTGATACCTTGTTAGTTCTACCAAATATTTATGCACTATGACTGGGTCAATTTTGTCTTCTTCCTGTGAGAAGGCTATCCGTTGGGGGCGTAGCAATTGTTTTCACCATGGGCCATGTTTGATTTATTCCATTGCTAGCCAGGAAAATCGGTTTGATCATATGAAGTTGAAGCTTTCTGGTAAAATCCCTGGAAAAAATAATTAAAAAGTGAAATGACAAACTCCTATTTGAAGAGCTCTTTGTACAAAGTTCCATCACATAAAAACATATATATTGCATGAAAAGAGAGTATTTCTGATAGACATTATTGAAGATAGGCCACACAAAATGATTCAGAGAAATTAAGTAAATCTTTTTTTTTATTTATTGTAAGAAGGGAGTTTACCAATAGCAATCAGCAAAATACTCAACTCAAATTTCCAGGCTTGTGTCCAAACTCTTTGAATGTGAGCCATCATTGTCTGTTTGTTAATTACACTTTGCAGTATCAAAAGGTATTTGCTTACAGCAGCTTAAATCAAATAGGACTTAATTCAGTCAGCTATCAAACTCCTGTAAATATGATTTAGGTGCTTTTTGAAATAATTGATAGGTGTAGTTTTATTTTGTCTTAGTATGACATTGAATTAACTCCTTAGACTTCTAGTAACTGCTGTAATATTATTAGGCTCAAAATTGTAACTGATGAGAATTTTTTAAAATGATACCTTGAGAATGCAGAAGGCAAAAGTACTTTGCAATGGGCAGAACTTTGAAATGTGGACCAGAAGCAAATTGATTTGATACACCAGTAAGTTTGTGCTTAAATCACAACCTTTAAACCTCAATCCTCTACTAGTATTTATTATACATTCCTAATTCTTTTGTTTGGGAGAATATGTATCCAACTGAAACGTTTTTGCTCACTATGAGATATTTGATTCAGGTCACTTTGGGTCTCGCAAAAGATTTCAACTTTTCTTGAAGGCTGACTTAAGTTTTCAAGGGAAGTTTTATCCAGAGTGGTAAAGCGTGACGGGGTGAATTCTTGTACAAAGGGCTACTGTTTGTATCTGATGGATGAGTACAAACTATGAACAATGCAACTGAATTGTTTAATAATATTGAGGGGGATAACCTGCATTGTTTGACACAAATAGATAAATCTCTGTCAATGTACAGGGCAATTTCTAAAAAGATTTTTTAGAAGAGTTGCAGAAGGAAAAAAATCTTCTGTGACATTTTGTCTCATCGTTTATGGCCTATGCTTCATCCCACTACATTTTTTCAGTAACTATAATTTAGAGCACAGAGGGATGGAATTTAGCTAAAAGGAAAATAATATACACGTTGTCTGGTAAAGTAGATAAATCAAACAACAACAAACATATGAAACATATGTGTGAACTGCGGTTATGAGACGTATATGAGAACGATCCTTCGCAGTAAAGCACTATTTGAGCAATAGTGAAAATCAGACCTGAAAAAAATTTCAGGCCTGTACGGGACTCGAACCACTGACCTCTGCGATACTAGTGCAGCGCTCTACCAATTGAGCTAACAAGCCAACTGGGAGCAGGCCATCAAATTAAAGCAGGCCATCAAATTAAAGCAGGCCATCAAAAAAAAAGTAGATAAAGATCGCATACTTGATTTTCTTTTTTTTTATTTTATTTTGATAGGAGAACAAGATATAAACCCGTAGTCAGCGCACAACCGCGGGCCTGAAAATCGCGTTTGAATTAAGTCAGATGTCTTTTCTCTTTCCTTTGAGTAGCTTTTTATCCAGAATCCTAAGTAACGAGCAAGAAATTGTGTAGCGCAGTGTTTTCCCTTTCGGTAAGGAATGTTTCAGTTGACAAACGTTTGAAAATTAAATGTTTTAAAATGAGAATAACGGTGTCAGCTGGTGAGAATTGACCTTCTAGATGCGCGTAGCGGGATTGCGGTAATCAGAACGAGGAAGAACTACTACATCTTGAGAAGACTGGGCGAATTGACATTCCATGGCAGTTTTTGTTAAGAATTATCTTATTTTAATTCAAACAACCAGCCTTAGCGCCGCGTTTGTAGTATGCCTGGTTCTTAGAGGGTCAGGGGCTTATCGTCTGAGAATTAGAACGAGTTTCATTTCAAAATATCCTATGTTCGTAAAAAAAGCATGGCAATAAGGCACCAAAATAGAGGGCCTTGAAAATATATTTGAATTTTAAAATGAAGCTGAAGTACCCTGACAAAGGAATAATTGGACGAATAACTGTTGTAACTTCACGTTTCTCATTGAAGGACAGTTGGTTTGTTCTTGACACAGATTACCGTAAATCTTTTAATAAGCCACCCCCCCCCTCAAAAGAACCTGAAATTAAAAAGCCCTGGGGGGGGGGGGTTTACGGTAATAAAACTGAGATGACACTGCACCTACGATCCAGTTTACAGAGCTTTTATTTTTAAGTTACCATTACAATCATGGCCTCTCTTCTTAAATTACTTTAATTATTGGCTGTCCGTTTAAAAAATATTGTCGGACAGATGTAAAAATATTTTTAAGCAGTGGAATTACCTATTTCTAAAGCAGCAAAGTAGCAACATTTTTTCGAGACGAACTAGCTGCTTTTAATACTCGTTCAGTAAATAATTTCACTGTTTCCCGGCCATATTTGTGAAAGTAGACAAGTTCATTACGATTTGAAACTTGTCAGCCTTTCGTTTCGTTTTAAACCGCATTCTTATCAGATAAATAAAACCAGTCATAATGTCAATGACTCCTAGGAATTTGGCCAATAATGGTTCGAAACTTCTTAACTACTTGCACACTTAGTCTGAGGTGTCAGCGGTTTCCACGCCCCAGTCCCGCGAGAAGCGCCAGCAAGGAAAAGGCTAACAATCTTATCGACCAATTGGAGCGATCGCTATGATCAACCAGTGCAGCGTAATACAACTTCTTCCCCTTATTGGCTTCCAGAAAAGTAGTTCTGTAACTCAGTCATTACTCAATTTAGTTTTACAGCTGTTTAAAATGAAAACAAAACCGTGTTGTATGTAAGCAAACTAACATATTCCCGATAATATATTGTTATTATCATTTACAATTAACAATTCCTACGGAAAGCTAATTGCCAACCTACTGTACGAACAGTTTTCTTCAAAGTTCATCAATGAAGATACCACTATAACCAAAAATTGATCAACACAGATTTCTAGAAAAATAACCGTAAAATCAAGTAAATACTATCAATAAAACACTCCTCCTAACTACATTAGAAATAACGATTCAATCAAGTGATCGCAAGCGGTAATTGTAAATGTCTTTCAAAATTTTTAAATTTGGCCAAATTGATGCTAACTGATCGCTGTACATAAAAAGCTGAGTTTCTATTAAAAAAAAGTGTCTTTTTCAGCTTGATTTTCGATTGCTAAGGTTTGTGGCATGGCTATCAGGACACGAATCGATGATCTACGCGCCGCCTTGTGGAACCCTCATGCGGGAGGAATATAACTGCATCTGATCACACATCAGTCTCGTTACAAATCAGTGACAAGTAACAGTTTGTTGCTTGAGGCACTCTGCTCCATGCCCGGTGAAAACAACGGCGAGTCACACTGTAACGAAAATAACGACAAAGTCAACAACATACTGCTTGTAATTATTTCTATAAAGCTAAGCTGCGGAGCAAACGTCATTGCTCTGCGTGTTTTTCAGGCGGGCGGCGTAAGCCCGGGGCGTGCGCGAAGGACCGGACACGAGGGGGAAAAGCGCGAGGAAAACCTCGCGTCGCGCGTGTATTACCCCTCGCACTTGCCTCCGCTCGACTGAAAAACGAAGAAAAATGGTTCCTCTCACGGGCTTCTCTACGCGATGCGCACTCAATCACATACGCGTGAATTCCTCGTGGGCCACACTATGATTTGCTCAAGAAAACGGACGAGTTTTCGGCTTCTGGAAGGTGACGAATGTTGTTCACTTACCCGATTGTCTGTTGCACTGGACAAGTTGTCAATATGTAGTGGTGTAGCCTTTCTGTTGGTTGGTGATCTGATAATGAAAAAAGTTTTAAAAGTTTTAGAGGAAGAGTGGCCAAGAAATGACGGTAGTTATCCCTAGTTTCGGTTACATTAACCCTAAAACATGTATCCATTTCTACTCCTGAGTATAGAGAGGCATTGGCAGAAGAAAAATGTTTTGCCAAGGAATACAACACATTGACACGATCAGTTAACCACTTAGTCACAGCGTCCTTAACGACGACAAAAATAAGGAAGAGTAAACAAACAAACAGCACTTACATTTTGGCGAGATCGTTTAGGGAATGTGTTCGATTTCTCTTGGTCTGTTTATTCTCGTTGCTGGCAAAGAAACAAATAAGAAAATAGCAAGAACAAATTTTACGACAAACAAATCAAACTGAAGAGTCCAAACAACTTATCACATACCCTTGGGGATTGTTCTCTTCCGGTTTTTGATTAAAAATTGTGCGCAGCTCCGGAAGTGAATTTCGTCTCCTGAAACACAAAGTAAACGGTTAAGATGAGGATTTCGAATTTAAGGACATCTTGTGCAAGAATAAGTTTATATATTGGTGTTGTTGAAAAGACGATTATAAGTATAACGAGGAAACCAGATATGGAAGGTGATAAATATAAAAAGCACTAAAGGTGGTTGAGGTAATTTAGGATCTGAGGGACATTCAGTGACTCGGAACGGAGCGCACGAAATTGGAGTAGCGGACCTCGTGAAGATATTGATCAAAATAATAAAGAACAACTGTGAGAAAATTAAAGAACGCAAATAAGCAAAATTAAAATAAATCCCAAAAGCTTCAAGAAAACAAGAGCGAGCGAAAACCTACCAGGCCAGAGATTACTACATCTCTTTAATTTCTCACTTCCCTGGCACTTTTTGATCGCGGTCCAGTTTGGCCGGGAAACTGGGTCAAGTAGCAGGAATCAACAAAATTAAAAGCAGCACGCACGCACACGCACCCACACACACACACGGAAAACAACAAAAAAAGAAATCAAAAGAACATTATGAGTTTAGACCTTTTCATAGGTGAGGCGCCTTTTCCTCGCAGCAGTCTTTCGTCTGAAGCAGAAATCCCATCGATTGTAGTGAAGCGCTTTTTGTGATCTCGCTTGTTTCTATCGTTTGGGATAAATACACGAAAGCTTCGCTGATCGTCCACGAGATAATTATTGTGCTTCCCAGAATCAAGGTCTGTCTCTAAGTAATTCGGCACGTAAGGTGCATTCGGTGGAACTCGTATGTCTAGACGAGCTGGCGTGGAATTCGTGGACTTCAGTTTCCCGGATTTGCTGTCACTCTTTGATTGGCTACGCGTTTTGTCGCTTTTGGATTTTCCCGATTTCTTTTCTTCTTCTTTACTGTTTTTCATTAGATCCAATATTCGAAGGTTTCGTTTGGATTGCCGACCCGACGTTGGTCTCTCACAAGCTACCGAGATACCAGAGTCAACATCTGTTTCAGGCAATGAGAAAATCTCCAGTGGAGCTTTCTTGGCGTAAGAGGCTTTGGTTGTTCCTGCAAATGACTTGTTCCGTGTGGCTTTCTTATCCATGCTGGGCGAAGTAGAAGATGACGAGGTGCTATCGTGATTAGTGGAAGCCGAACGTGGAAGTCGAACATTGGCAGGAAGCGAAGCAGATCGCGCGTGGATATTCTTCGGTCTATCGTCGGGAAGGCCTCCGGAAACAATTGAAGCCCCGAATAATTCCGAAGATTTATCGTCGAATTTCGTAGCTTCTGACGAGGATGGTAAAGACACGGCACCATCCACAACTGCAGATGAGAGATGTTCTTCGGGTTTCACAAAACCATTAGAGTTGGAGCGTGGAGGCAGTTCAGTGGTAATCACAGCTCGTCCTGTCAGACTTGTTACCTTCATGGATTCTGCTTTTCTTACGCCTCGCCGAGTTTTAGCTCCGGGTCCTGGTGAGAGAAGAAAACAAATAATTATCACTGATCGTCTCCCTTGGCACATACAATAGACCACTTTCACAAATGGCTGCCGGATTAATATTCTTTCGTTGAAATTTAGATTAGCCCTTCTGGCCTCGCTTGAGATAATGTATTCTTTTGAGTTTTGTATTAGAGAACGAGGTCAGCAAGGCTAATTTAAATTTAAACAAGAATATTAATCGCGCAGCCATTTATGAAAGTGGTCTATATCTTACACAAACTAACCCAAAACAAAAAAAGGGAAGGTATTCAAAAAATTAATGTTAAAATTTTATCGGTAATAATAAAATAAAGTCTTCACAATATGAGTTGTAAAATCAGAGCTGCACAAAGAAATCGAACCAAGAAATGGCAAATGGCTTCGTAACTCAGTTAATTAATAAAGTCGAAAATGAGTTTTCTGCGAGAGTTGGAGTAAAATGTGAAATTAAAACTATTTCGTAGGGAGTTTCATTATTTCGTCGCCTAGCTTTCCCCGATCTCCTCCGAGCCTTTGGGGCCAACAGGCTTAAATTTTCGGAGTTTGTTCCAGTTTCTGTTGTATGAAGCGACTAGGAGCGTATTCCTACTCTCTGGCTTTTCGGCAGGATGCTTGTTTATCGCAGGACTTCAATGAATTGTAACATACAAAAATAACCTATTCAATAAAGACACCGTTTAAATTGTTAACATAAGGTGCATATACTACAGGGATCGTCAGGAAAGCGAAGGAGAAGTGTCACTTGAAAGAACAAAACATTTTAATCAACTAACCTTTCACGACATATCGGAGAGCGCGTTGAAAATGAAGTTTCTTAGACGAGGAGAATTTCATGTTATCAATAAAAAGTTGGAGGCTGCCTAATATTGTTTCCGTTGTCACTCGCCAACAAGGAGAGTTCTTCTTGTAATATAACTGATCAAGTCGTGTCTTGAAGTAACGAGTTCTTCTGCGTAAATAAAATGCCGTGAACTTTTCCTACTTTTACTTTGCCGAATTGAATCGAAAACAGAACGTAACGTAAACAACGTTGGTTGCGTTCAAGAACTTTCCATGATTTAATTATATTTAACAAACTAAAAGTAAAATGAGATAAAAACGCAATTATAACGGCTCGCTTTATACAGACTATAATTTTCCTCAAATCACAACCAAGTTATCCTTTGCACAGCACTCAAGCACTCAATCCTTTCCACTTAAGGAGTTTCAGTAACTAAAATTATCAAAAGTTCCGTTCGAGATGATGCGACCCCTGAGGCAAAACATGAATAACTGAAACCGCCTACGAACATTCTTGAAATACTCAAATTACTAGTAACTCTTTTATTTGGAACGAAGCCACATTTAAGGCGTAGTTACCGTGAGCAGAGTGTTTTGTTGGAACTATTTACACATCTCTGTTGAGCGGATAAAACCAATTTTGGTTCAAAACTATGATACTAGACAACCGGTGAAGCTTACTTTTATAGCTGTCGCTTTTACTTAACCAAATCCGGACAGGAAAAAAAAATTTAAAAAACTACATTTCAAAGCCTTGAAGCTTATAAGTTATCTTTGACAAGCGAAAAAAAAAACAAAAATCATAAAACAACCACAGACATCGGCACAGTTTCAAATTAGAATTGCTGAAATGTTCCCCACTGTGTTACGACCAATGGCTTATTGGGGAGAATTACTGCTGGAAAAAACACGTTACGTGTTTATTTCGATTTGGATTGCATGCACCCAAGTATAAATTTTCGTTTAACATAGCTGCAAAAACCCTTTTCAGTGCGGGAAAATAATATAATAAATAATTGATCAGTCTTTAATTTTTCCTCTGTATCGTCCTAATATAATCTTGTGACAATCAGTAAATTTTAGCGCGATATAATAAAATTGCGATTCTTTTCGCCAAGAAGAAATACACAAAGGCTCAGTAACTTTCAGGGCCCACAATCACTAGATCAGCTCCCTTAATCCGTTCCTTTTAGCAAGGAATGAACATTTTCAGGTTTTTAAAATGTCTCACAGAGGCTACGCGCGCTGTGATTGGCCCGCATAAATTGAAAACTGTTTTTTTTCTTTTTCAACAAAATCTCTCGTTTTTAAACGCCAATTATTCTTTAGAGGGCGAATGAAAATTAAAAATGTTCGTGTTTCTTTAAATTACATTGAAAGATGCCCATAACTGATCAACGATTTCTACTTGACTCGTTTTAATTTCGACTTGTATTAGTCATTTGAAACCGTTATCTACCTGACTAGAAATCATTTCAGTAACTAAATAACCACGTCTTGTTGGTGCGTACTTTAAGTTACCGATGCTCGGTTTGTCCTATTCGATTTGAGGCCCGCGCGGTTTCAAATTGAAGAAGAAAACGTTCGTTTCGTATTTTAAAGGACGGACCTCGAACACAATTAGTAACAGGCACACTGTAAAATTTTCTAAAGCCTCACCGAAATACAACGGTGGTTTGAGTATCCTTAGCTGGTCTATAGTGTTGTGATGTTTATCTCCATCATCATACTCCACATAGTACTTGCCATGCTCTATACCAATCACCTTCCCAGACAGCTTGGCGGGCAGACCCGGCCAATGAGCAATCACGCGACTCCCTGGACGAAATGAAGAAAATGTTCAGTGGGACCGTGTAAGTGGATTACCCTTTGATTTTGCATAATTCAATCAGTAAAATGAATAGCGTGTTGTTGAAGTTGTTCTTACCAATTTCTAAGTCACTAATCTCAGGAACTTGATCAAATACAACACACTCAGGATCAGTTCTGTCATGCGCAATAGTGTCTCCATTGTCAAACTTGATATGCAGCATTTCTCCCAGACCAGTCACCACCCCTTTGTAAAAATCACCATTTAGCGCCTTGCCCCAGACTCGGGAACCCACACGAATAAAACCTGTCAAAGAAAAACAAACTTGGTTCAATTTAAACTTTCTTGATTATCAAAAACCACCAAAAAACACGATCACACGTCAGTGGGAAAAACAAAAGATTTCTCCACAAATTCAAACTCGGCTTAATATTTTTTTTTTTCGCAGCTGAGCAGGCGCGCTAGAAGTGAACGTTATATACCTCTACCTTCAATCACGCAAGATGTGGAACAGCATTTCGACAAAGGATGTTTTGCTATGTATTTTTGCTTTCTTGATTTCTACTCAGTTTTATACTGGTGCATCCCGTCAATATCGCTACGATAAATGTCAAGAACTCGTTAAGTCAGAAGAAGGGAACAGATTTTTTAAGAATTCAAAACAAACTCAGTTCTCATCAGCAAATCAACAATAAACGAAGACTTGTCAGAAGTGAACCAAGTTTTAGTTGAATTAGTGTCTCTTTAAAAGAAACAAGAGGTTGATTGAACCGTCAATTCAAGTAGAGTCCACGATAATTTTTGTCAACGACGTGCGAAAGCTTTTAAAACGAAGATGCAAAAAATTTAATGAAAGTTGACTGGAAAGTAATTAAGTAGAAATCTTATAACGATATTGTAACAGCTAATTAACAAGCGCCTAAAGTTTAAATGGAAATATATACCACAGATACCGAAAAGACGTTTGCTTGCGACTAAAATTGTCTGTGGTGGTATTGAGTGTGGGACATATGCAAAGAGTAAATGTGAAGCTGACAGCGACCAATACATTGTTATAAGTCAGCAAATAAAACATTGGTATATCAGCCATCAGGGAAATTTACGGGGTCTGGCCCACGAAAATCGATGATTAAAAGTCGGAGATATCCTTGTCATGGGATTTAATAAACATTACAACACATGGAAAAATGCTACATGGAGTTTTTGGTATTAAGATAAGTGAAGAAGTAAGACCAATCGATGCACAAATTAATTTTTGCAGATGTACACTTTCGAAGGACATTCGTTAAAAACTTGAACTTGTTGCCAATATACGCAATATAAAGATTAGATGTTAACATCGCATTTTAATAATGGTGAGAACACAACAAAAAGTGTTCGATTGAACAGTCATAACGCTTACAGGAGCAAAGTTTGCAGAGTCATTCGTTCATTCTCTGTCTTAATAATCAGTCGCCTTACGATGACAAAACATAGAATTTGAAGCCAAGTTAGGCATTTGGTTGATTGAGGGATCACTATAAACACCGCACAAACATATTTTAAATGGCAAATGATATGTAGACCACAACAGAAGCCGTCCTGAAAGACAACTGGCAACTTACCAACAGTAGGTCTCCTTGAAAATCGTTCGCTTGTTGCCCTGAAAGAAACATTCATGAAAATAAAACTGATTTAAACACTTGAAAACACTGGCTTGAAAACACTTGGTGTAATCCACTGGCTTGAAAACACTTGGTGTAATCCACCTGTTAAAACAGTTCTACAGCGGAATACTTCTCAAGCAGGCTTTTCACACCTTCCGTAGTAAGCCGCTTCAAGCAATGCCTGGAAACTTTACCCACTAATAATGAACGAACAAAATAGAGGCGCCCCGTGACTTACACGTGTTGTGTTGCTAGGCAACCTGACTGGTTAATGAGAAAATCTCCTGCTCAGATGTAACAATGGAAGTAATGTTAGATCTTAATAAAGGCAAGAAGGCGTTGGAGCCTTGATGTTGAACGGAAAACATTTAACAGATTAAACGAGTACTAAAATTCAAACGTCAAGGTTCGAGGTTGCTTGGTAACACGCGCAATTTTTAAGAGTTCTTTACGATATCAACTCGGTTGACAAAACCAAATGATCTTCTCATAGCCCCTACCGACGTAGCACCACCGTTTATTGAGGAATTTATCCCCTTTTTTCTGCTGTTAATATCTACAACTAACGACCCATTCACACCAGTTAACCATTGTCAATTACACTATGTTAAACTGAATGAAAAGCAGAAACAGAAAACTGAAAAAACTGAATTTTTCACATGGTTCAGTTGGTAAGTAACTTGTATTTTCAATACGCAAAATTTAATTCGATACTAACTTTGGTGTGAATGGGATGTAACACAACCCTAATAAAAACACTTGTTGATTTAATCGAGCATCTTAGTCCAAGTTTAGATGAATATTCACTCTTTTTTTTATATTCCCCTCAAATTACGGTTTTCGAGGTAACATAGTTCCTACGGTAGTTCGAATTACCTTTGAATCTTGAGTGACTTCCTGGCGCTCACTCTTGCATCTTTTTGAGCCTGATGCTCTGTTCTCCCGCTGTACCACAACACAAATTCATAAAAAAGAACTTTCAGAAACACCGTTTTCTCATCCTTTTCTTCTAAGGTATATAGTAGTATATACCTATATATATATAGTAGTATGTGGTAGAATTTACACGATAATCTTAGTTCTTCGTTGTCATACTTATTGTTATTTCTTTTTTAGTCTATTTTCACACGCATGTCTAACAAGCCTTGTACATCTCGGTCAGTGTAGTGTGCTTAATTAAAGCATTGTTGTTGTTATCGATGTAGTTAGTTATAATAACGACGAGCAGTAAAGACAGTCATGAGCAGTGCAACTTTTCGCTTCAATGAGTATTTCTATCTGCTTTGGCGGCGGGCGCGCGTGAAAAAGCGACGAGGGAGGGGAAGTGGTACCAAGTGAAAAAATATTATCTTTTCTTCTTCTTAAAATGTATGAAAGCGATCCTCGCAGTAATGAACCCTACTTACATAGTAGTGGCAATAAGGCCTGACAAAAAAAAACAAAATTCAGGCAAGTACGGGATTTGAACCCATGACCTCTGCGATACCGGTGCAGTGCTCTACAAACTCAGCTAACATGCCAACTGGTTTATTTCCACTACTACATTGGTAGCGTTCATTACGACGAGGATCACTTTCATACATTTCATGAAACCGCAGTACACATAAATGATTTTCATATATTCAAATTCATTTTCTTCTTCTATTCTCCTGACCCCTGCCCCCCCCTTGTGTTCTAGGTTCATGATTCATGTGCAGTGCTGCATCGCTCTCAGTTTAGTTTAAAGGAAAAATAAAAAAAGAGAAGCTTCGTGCAATTCAATACAAACCTGTATCTGTAACGTGATCCAAAGCGTAGGAAGCTGGACGTTCTCTTTGGTTTTGTAGTTGGTTTTACGAGTCTGTGTCAAAGATAATTACAATTAACTCAGCATAGAAAAAAAAGTTGACACGTGCAAAGAATCAATCAAACAAACCAAAACAATTCAGAGCAGAATATCCAAATTACCTGAAGAATGTGTGATGCTCAATAGCACTTTTCCATAGATGCTTGGCAGCGAGGGAACTGGTGCACGTGTACGTGTAACTTTCTGCATGCCGCTGAGCCTGAAGTAAAAATAGGTCCGTAATACGCAGAAAGTCAGCGATAGAAAAGTACTTGGTTGGTTTTTAATTTGAAAAGCTTTAGCAAATCTTGGTTGAGTTGTGTATTTGGAATCAATGTCAGCAATCACTAGAGGACTTTTACCCCTTGATACTCCAGGTGAAATCTGTTTTTCTTGAATGAGATTTTGGAGATTTTCTGCCTGAAAAGTTAAGGTAAAGCGAGGCAATCAAGTTAACTTAACATTCCACAATCTTGAAACATCACACGGTAATCATATGAAGTTAATAAACTATTTATCTTGATGCTTACCAAGCAAAAATTGTCCTCTTCTCTTTGTCCTTGATGGACAAAATACCACGAGGTGTCAAACCCAGCTGGCACTCCATTTTGTTTTCCCCCTAATAATTTGAAAACTGGAAACCTTTAATTCAATAATATTTAATTTTCTGAGGACAGAAAGAAAGAACACCCTAATGAGAAAGTATCGACAGTAAGAGTGTAAAAAACGAAAAAAAGACTTTCTGACAATGGATGGTAAAATACAAAAACAAAATGATAGGACAAACACTTAAGAAAAATTCAAACTTTTGATAGCAAAGAATATCAAATTTGAAGACTCTTATCATATCACTGGATAACAAGTCAATAAAGAGCACATTTCTCACCACAACAGTATGGATATCGACTCCATAGAAATCCATGTTCTTCACAATCTTGAGGAAATTCACTTCACATTCTGCTGGATTCAAGCCACTGGTAAAAATTATCAAACAAAAGCAGATTTCACACTTAGGTCATTAAAAGGAGAATTTCAAAACATTGCATTATCATTTTTCAAAATGAAGTGCTGAAAGGACAATGAATAACCTGCAGAGCAGGGCCTGGCATAATCTACCGAGTGAGTGTTCAGTATTTACTTCCTGAAAATTAGAACTGCCATCTTTGATTTTTACAGCAGTGTAAGGTTGGGGAGGAAAGGCAATTTGTACCAAGGGGGTAAGCAGTGGCTAAAAGGAATGAGAGGGGAGGGGGTAGGGCAAAAGAAATTACACTACCCCCCTTCCTACACTACCCACCCTAACCCTAGCCGGTCAGATAACTGATTGTGAGCTAGTAATGTTAACTTGCCCCAGTAAGATGCCTCCACTGCAGGCTACACAATGAATTACGTTAACTACTCTTGGTACAAACTTACATGAGAGCCTTGTGCTTCTTCTTTATTTCTTTCTCCAACTCTTTTGTCTAAAACAGAAGAGTGATTTAACAGTATGTATTTCATCAGGATATTCACTTCACTTGTTAGTATAATGTTATTTTTTATCTGGTTTTCTTTTTTTTTGTGGCTACTGGTGAGGACCCCTCATTAAAAGAAGAGGAAAATGCATAGCTCTGTTACATGGCCCTAAGAAGGAATCTTATACTTTTTAAATACGAGAAACTTTATTTTTTTAAGCACCCTAAGTTTGTATTGCCTTCTTTACCTGATTAGGAATAAACTTGAATTCTGTGATGTAATCAGTTGATGCTTCATGAAGCTCTGGCTCAAAGTCACCAAGATGAGCTACAAAAGTGAAATGAAATACAATTTAAATAATGTATAAGGACATTAAGTACCCACTGATTTACAAAAAATTATGGTGAGAAACACCAACTTTTACGGAGACAAAACAACAGAAGACAAGTATACTACAAAGATGTCACACTGAAACAAAGTTTGGAAATAGCAAAGCAACTTAAGGGTGTTCTTTTGCAAAAAGAAAATTTAACATGCTATTTGAAGCATATCCATCATAAACTATATATCAAAGAAAAGGTTCTGAAATGCACTACTCAGCAAAAATCATCTCAATTTAGCTTGATCTAATCATAAACGAAATGGGGCACAACAATTTGAAATGTATGAAGTTTCCCTTCACATTTTAGTTTAAAAGTAGACAGATAGCAAAGATCTCCACATGCAACCAAAATCAGGAGATATTTATGCAACTGAAATTCAAGGACCAGGAGAAACCGTTCTGGATTCAATTACGTTGTGTTAAATTAGCTAAGCACACTTTGGCGGGCATTCAAGTGTACATTTTTGTAAATAATTTGAATGTGTTTCAATATTTACCAAAATATATCTTGTAAACTATAATAGTTAAAATAACAATGCTTAGTGCAATATGAAGAAAAACAATTGGCCCTTGAATGTCTACCATATCCTTAATTTGACTCAGATATATCTAAGTAAGGTTGACCAGACAATCCAGAGAAAATTTGGTGCAATTTGCCAGTTTTAACATGCAACAAAAACAGACAACTTAATTTTCAAATAGATGTTCAAAACTTACATTGCAAACTGTAGCCAGTCAAGTCTACACCGACCTTAAGAGGTACCTCAAGCCTAGGAAAAGATGTCAATCTTAAGCATACAGCCTATATCTTTATTAGTAGGACTTCTATGGACACAAAATAAGCTTGTTGAGAATTTTTTGTTAGAAATAGCAATGTCTTAAATTCACGTTATGTGAAATAGAAAATATAAGTTTGACAAAGGCATAAACCAATGTAATAAAATACCATAAACATCCCTGTATAAGCTGCACTTTTTTTCACAAAATTGAAGCCAAATATCAAGGGTGCAGCTTATCCATGGATACATCTGTGTTTGGAGTTCTCAAAAACCTAATTAATATTCATAAAACTTCTTAAGATGCCAAGAAATAAACATAAAAGAAACTGAGAGCATGTTGCTGTAGTTCATTGACTTCTGAAAGTGCCGCATTACAAATGCCATGGATGGCACAAAGGATGACCAAATGTGGAAAGATGACTCCAATTCTGATCCATTTGCTGGCATCGATGAGGAAGAGGATGTGGACTTGCTTTACACTGATAGTTTCAAACAGCAACAAGCAGAAATTGACCCAGAAAGCTATGAGAATCTCTTTGGAGATAGCGATAGTGAGCACTTTTATGGCTTTTAACGATAAACACTGACTTTAACAGATGTTCACGTGAATAACAGTAGCATCTTTTATAAATTACCTGAAGTATTGTACTATTAATTAATGATATGGAAACTGAAATGATTGCATCAGTGTGCGTGCTTTCTGTTTATACCCAGATGATGGTCAGGCCCTGGCCCAGACTCCTCCCAACATTCAAGGCTTGGCTACAAAGCACTTTTTTTTTCAATGCCAAAGGAATTTCAACTTTATGGCGTGTTTCAAAGTGATAATTTTGAAAAATCAGATCTAAAGAGCATTTTAATTAATGATGATGTAAATTCCAATGAAAAAGAAGGTACGACAAATGAAAGCAGTAAAGGATAAAAAACTTACTTCCCTCTAGATATGTCCTGCTTGATTTGCAGAAAGAAGTGATATCTACAAAGGAATTGATGCAAATTTGGGTGAAGTAATAATAATAATAGTGCTTTATCAAATTCTCCAAGTAGTGGCTTTTCAGAATTCAATTACTATGGATGAAAATGAATATGAATATAATATAAATGATTATGTTATGTACAAAACATCTATAAAAAAAGCATACACTAAATATATGATGTGAAATTATGCCTTTATGTTCTCTACTCCAATAAAAAGGTGGCCAGGGCATTGTTCTTGATAGATTTTTTAAATTTAAGTAGAGTTCATATCAGTGATCCAATGGGGGAGATCATTCCACAAAGAGACTGCTCTGTAGGCAAAGTATGAGCTGTCATTAACTAACACATACACAATACATTAAGGCTATTTCTAAATTTAACATTTGCAAGGCTCCCAGCTCAACATTTTTAAATTGCCTTTTAGCAACATGGTTTCCTGCAATACTGGCTGTCAAATAAAAAAGACACATCGTGCAACAGTTCATGAAATGCAATACAGTCGAACCTCGATTATCCGGACCTCGATTATCCGGACTTTTTTCTCTGGTCCCAATTTTTTCATGAATGTTAATTATTTGTGATCATGAAAACTTAAAGTTGCAAAAAGCCCAATAATCCTTTCAAAAGACTGTTGAAACAGCGTATTATCCTGTGCGCTTTTCAAAATTCGGACAAAATTGAGTCAAATTCACAGCCCGAATTCAGAGAGGATAATATCGCTGAGTCCAAGGTTGAAATGCTGGAACATGTAAAGCAACTTGACAATGAGGAAATGCCTAAAGCTCGCAATGTGGAAGACTGGCTTAATCTGGAAAACAAGCTCCCGAATTCACCACAAACGTCTCATGTAGAGATTTTAGCCACAGTTGACCGGTGGAGATTCAATGGAAAGTGAAAGTGTATGTAGCAAAGAGGAAGATGAGGGTGAGGACAAGAAACTAGTATCGACTAAAGAGGCAGCACAATGTTTAAAAAAATACTCGTTGTGGATGGAATCACAGAATGATATTGACCCTGTGCAGTTAATGCGGCTAAGACGAATAATGGACTTCGCAATGTGATCAAGCTACATCTTTGAAGCAAACAAACATGCTTGAACATTTTAGACCTTTGTAAATACCTACTATACCTGAACTGAATGTTTTTATTTGTAAATACATACACGCTGTCTAGATTTCAAAATTAAAATGATGTTTTCTTCACCCTGTGTACTTTTGTTTACATTTCTCTGTCATAAATATTAATATTTTCGATTATCCGGACTCTCGATTATCCAGACTATTTACTGAGGTCCCAACGAGTCTGGATAATTGAGGTTCGACTGTAATGCTGACCAGACAGCTCATTAATTGAAATAAGTAACATGTCAGTCAACAGTTTGACTGACAATCACCAGAAACATCTCGAAGCTTAATACCTAAAAAACCATGGTGAAAGAAGGTAATTTTATAGAGGGCTGTGAAATTTAAATATTTCTAATATTTCATGCTACTTCACCCCAACTTTAGACCATTGGTATTAAGTGATAACATTATTATAATAATTAACAACTATTCACCAAAGTGAAGGTGGTTAGTGGGGGATATTTACCGAGCCGTGAAGTGGCGAGGTAAATATCCACCGCTAACCACTGACACTGAGGTGAATAGTTGTTTTAGTATATACTAACACAGTGAGATAATATACACCACCGCCATTAATTTGAGTGATTTCTTCCCTTGTCGTGGATGCAAACCGGGACGCCATTTTTTCCCGAGTTGCTCGGAGGCAAATAGCAAAGGATATTTGGAGTTTGACTGGCCAATCAGAGCGCGCCTTCAAGGCTATCCACTGTTTTAGTATATACTAATTACTTATAGCTTCTGCATGTTCAGCAGTTTTTAAGGATTGTCATGCTTAATTTTTCCTTCTTGCCATAGCAACCATTGTCGCTCAGAAAACTTGTTTATTACACAACATTTACCTGGTAAGTTCCTCTGTCAGGTCTTGTGGTTCGGCAGCATAAAATCTGACTCGGAAGTGTAATGTGTAGGGTGGACCGACTGGGAAATAGCATAAGCATTAAATAAAAATTATATAATATTTGCATCTGTGAAAACATTCATAATTCTGATTTATTAGACAAAAGATTGTAATAAACAATTTGACACAAATCTCACATGCATTGAGGAAAAACATGTGACATTGACAGGTTTAAGTAGTTTTTCATATCTAAACAGTTATGAATCACAAGACCTATAAGGAAAAAGTGTACAATTTCCTACTTTTGACTTGTTTCTTGATTTTTTTCATGGGATTTAACCAATGCTGTCAGGAAAAAGGTAAAGTTTGCATTAGCAATAAATAATTATAATATTACTTCAAACAGAATTGTAAGCCTGTATCACAACAAAATTGTGACTGTACTCGTAAGGATTTCAATAAAAGCCAGTAAGCTGTTAATTATTGCTGCATAAAAGACCTCTTACTAACATCTGTTTAGCCTGCCAGCAGGCTCTCATGTTTGGGTTTCACCTTACTGGCCACTGCCCTTCTCTGGGCACAATATATTTCTAATTAATTTCCATGCTTATATATGTAGTTGTTAGATTTTTCAGTGTTTTTTAATACATTTTGTGATATTGTTAAGGACCTAGAGCAATTAGTGATATAGATGTTATATAAATAAAGTTTATTATTATTATTATTAATATCATTATTATTACAGCTACCTATTCACCATCACTAGTCGTTTATGGAAAGAGTTATTAAAACCCCTTTACTTATAAGATCTTCAACAATATTTATCCTTACTCCACTTGGCAATGAAAATAAAATATCAAGTTTTTTTCAAAGAAACCAACCCTAACACAAATGATGTTTTCTCCAATGGACGGTCTCTCACCCCAGGAACAGTGATACCAACTTCCTTTCGATCAGGTAAAAATATCCCCTGGGTCAAAATGTCAGAAGTTTTCTAACTTGTGAAATGAACATTAGATCCAGAGAGGGTTCAAGGAACTCTTCAACAAACAACAAGAAAAAATGACAACCATACCGAAACTTGATGTATGTCCATGAACTGAAGGCCAAAGTAGTCTTTCTCTACCAGATCCAGGTTCTTGAAGATAAGGTCAAGAAGTTCTTGTCCTTTGGCCTTTTTCTACAAAATTTAGGCAGAATTATTAGCCGCATAGAGTTACATTCAAGCCATTACCATGCCCATATAAATTTATTGCCTGAGGATCACAGCAGCTATTTGAAGTTGATGACTACAACATAACTGTGGCCTTGCCATAGCCCAGTTGGGTGTCAAACTATTATTAAGTAAATCACTGTTGATATGAGTTTGCAATGCAACACTTACACAACAAAATCTTAATTTATATGGTTTTTAAATGAAGGAGCCTGGGAAAAAAAATGAAATAAAAACTTGGTGATATTGAACTCTGTCTTGTTGTCAGTAACTGTTAACTTAAATTAGTCAAATGACATTCACATGTCTATAGCAGCCCTATGTAAATTAATCGTGTGAAAAACATTTCTTTATAGCACATTTGCAACTTAACCATTAACATAAACAACTCTTTCAAAGGAAAACCCTCTAGGTTTAGTTGATAACTTAAAAAAAAAAAAAAACGAAACATGTCTTTCTGGATATTGCTTTTGTGCTGATTATCAACTGTTCACAATATTATCATAATTGACTCCTTGATGCTTTAGTCTGTAGGAAATGTGATTAGTATTGTATTACTTCCATAATCTAATATAAGAAAATCAGGCAATTTATTGAGAAAGAAAAGGTAAAAAATGCATATAAAATCCTTAAATGATTCTGAAACATTGTCAAAAAACCTGCTACATAAAAATTTGAATTGTTAAGACATCTGTCTATTGAAAGGTAATTAGAAGATTTTATTTCACAACTGGGCAAAAGAAAACACAGTAATCAAATTAACAAATAGTCATTAAAGATATGGTTATGAATAAAAAGCAACAAAAACACAAAAATAGCCTGATTTCTCGTTATCTACCTTTTGATTGACGCTTTCACTATTTATTTTCAAATTACTGCAATGAAATTTCAACTTTAGTGGTCTGCAAGATATCACTGCGCACATATACAGCGGTATCACTAAATCAAACGTTGGAACGAGGGTACTTGTGATATTCCAGCAACAGAATACATTTTTTAAAGGACAACAGGCGCTAAGAAAAAACACTGAACCGTACAAAAACAATCATTGACATAATTAACCACAACCAACGCGTTTAGACAGTTCAAAAATAAACATGTGGAAAAATCGCTTCGCCGGAACGCCCCATTGAAACATGTAAATTTTAAAGTTAAAGGTTAATCGTGCTTGCAGAATGGCATGTCCTTCTGATTTCGGGATCTGGTTAAATCACTTTAAGGAAAGAAAAACAGTTTGCCAAACAGGCGGTGCGATCTCCTGAGATACTTGTAAACATGTAATGCGCTCAAGTAAATTCAAGGCGGTATATTGAACTCTGAAACGTCCTGGTATAAATTTCAAAACATTCAAAGACATTAAGATCTTATCTCCTCAAATACAGCCAGAAAACCAACAAAGAGTCCACTGTTTTCTTAACCTTCGACAAATATTAGCTCTTCTGGAACATTCCTTTCAAAACTGGACCATAAATAAAGAATACTTTGAAACTTTACTGGCGGAAATGCAGCCATATATTCTCTGATCTGTATTAACTCGACAACGAATCATTTCAGGCACAAACTAAAACATCGACCGAAATCGTGTCAATAATGGTAGCGGTCACTGCTCTTGCCATTGTAGGTTGGTATTAACTAATATATCATAAAACTTACATGCAAATTGAAAGAGAGATCGCTGCCATCGAGCAGAACGATGACATAGTCCAATGTATGTTTATCCTTTTTCTCTTCTTTGTCTTTCCCAAACCGTCTTCGAAATCTTCTGCTTAATCTGTACATGGTAGGTGCTGAAAAGTTACTTGCTTTTCTTTTAATAAAGAAAACACGGCTTTCCAACCGGCTTCTTCAAAATAAAACCGTCAATTCATTTCATCTTTTATTACAGAATGATACATGCAAATTCGTTGCATTCTTTCGATTCCAAAATGCGCGAGCCTGCGATTTTTGGACTCGGCATGAAGATCGTTTTATGATCGGTAGAGTCGTCGAGGTTCATCGGCACTATTCGTGTAACAGTCTAATTACACAGAACCGCTTTCTGCCTAGTTTGTGTTTAACATATGCCTACCTTAACTTGGCTGAAATTTTCAACTAAAAGAAATTGAAATTGTTTTACCCACTGCTGTATTAATGTATTAATGAACCACCCGATTTCCCGACGGGTCCCCTGAGAGGCTGGTCGACAGACTCGTGAGCCCTTCAGTACGCCTGGTTGCATAATAGCGGACGCATCATGATACAGTAAACAGTAAACCTCTCGGTGAGCCAATGTCACAATATTGCATGGTAGACTACTTGTGACTTTGCAGGGACCTAAAAGAGGTTCAAGTTTTAGACCAGGTAACCTCTGTTGTCTTCGTAATTGTAGTGAGTCGAAAAGGAGATTTCTTCAATGTCTTTTTAGTTACGAGTATGTGCACAAAACCTGACAAAACTCATGTAAGTGACTTGGCAAAAAATAGTTTATTTGTTGTTTGATGCAGTAGGATTTAAAGTCAGATAAATACTATAGCAAAGAAATAAATCTGCTCGTGTATTGTGACATAAACAACAGACAATTCATTGTGGAATTCATGAGAATACAGACTTGTAGATGTATGTTCATCCTTCCTGCAAGAGGATATTAGAAATTAACTAAAATGTACCGTGGCCGGTATTACTTATGCCATCTTCAATCAATGAGTAACTGAACGTGAGTAATAGAGAATATGACAGACAAGTTGATGAATAAAATATTTACAGTATGATGTACTACAAAAGCGGGTAGCGTGACAACAAACATGAAGTTAAAGGTGTGAACTAAACTGCTAGAAAAGTGTTAAAATGCTGTAATTGTTTGTTAAGTTCAGGTTTGATCTTATTTAGATTAAAAGCTTCTTTGAGTGTTAAATCACTTGAGTTGTTGGCAGAATCCAGAATACTAAAGCAAGAAAGAGAGTATTTGTTCTTACAAGAAGGAGATGTGTTAAAATGCTTAAAAATATGCGAGTTTTTATCGCTTTTCCTGTGCTCCTTTATCCTAGTAGAGAAGTGGCGACTAGTTTCGCCAATATAACGGGAATTACATCCCGCACAAGAAAATTGATAAACTACCATGGATTTTAGAGCATCAGGTGTACGATCTTTAACACTCACATTTATTACACTTATTACATCATACTGTAAATATTTTATTTATCTACTTGTCTGTTATATAATTACTCACGTTCAGTTACTCATTGATTGAAGATGGCATAAGCATGCCGAAACATGTCTCTAAAAAAGTTATATATTTCTTACAATATTTATCCTACTTGCTACTACTACGACCAGATGTAAATTTGTTAAACCAAGGAAAATTAGCCATACTGGTGTGGGAAATCTGAACTGAACTCAGTAATGTAATATTAGCGTATGGTGCTTTGATTTGCATTTATGTCCAGATTTTCCATGTGATTACTTACTAAGAACACAACAAACATTGTGCACATAGTTTAAGAGTCATTGATTAGATTTCATTGTTTCTCTTCAACACCTGAGGACTCAGAGAGGGGATAAAGCTATAATTATGTATTCACAGGCTAATTTATGACCTGATGATGTGTGTAAACAAGTTATGTTCTGTTTTCATCTCACATTGGTTTATTGACCAGGAAAAATATCCAACTTTTCGGCCACTGGAATCAGAACAATACTTCATGCCATATTATCTGATGTTGTCTCAACAGGTAGACAAAAATCAGACTGATTATAGCCACAATGGCCATTTGCTCTTTTTACTGTGATTTCAATGAAACTTTGTTAAGTCTTGTGTCTAAAGACACTGGTCTACCAAGATGCATCATGGGAACCATTCCACCAGCTGTTCTGCTTCTGTTGATGTTACTACTTGGTTTGGTTGAGTTGTTCAAGAAGGGAAGGTTGCAGACTGATAACAAAGGGAGAACTTTATTGCCTGATTTAGAATCAAATTCTGTGGAGGAAATTATCAGAGCACCAAGAAAATCCTGTAACTGCAAAAAGCTTTGCAGATGCTACAAGAAACATTATGAACTGAACAGTGGTTCTATTCAGGCAATAACAAACCCTGCAGAATTTGTTCATGGAGATAATCGCACATCATTTTTGTACACTTTACAACAGTTCTTGCACATTTGTCTTGTATTTGTACCTATAACGGACCTTATAGTCAAAGGAGCCATAGAACCACAGAGAATTCAAGGCTATATCATGTTCATGGATGTTGCCATGTTCTTAACCTGGATCTTAGCCTTCATAGTTCTTCGGTCCCAAAGTGCAAGATATTTCAATGCTCATGTCAGTAGACATTCAGTAGGTCTCTTGCTGTTTTGGTCTCTGGCATTTGTTGTTGAGAATTTGTCTTTCATGTCATGGAACAATCCTCATTGGTGGTTTCAAAGAAGTACAAGAATCAAAAAGGCTGAATTTGGTTTGTTTATATCACGTTATGTTCTTAAGTTGTTCATCTTTCTTCTTGGATTGAAAGGACCTGGTCTTTATAAACCACTAAAAGTTCCCGTCGAGGAAGAAAAAAAGTTTCTGGAAGGATCAACGGTAATACAAGTTTTTGCAAGTGATCTCATTTTTCCTTTTGAATTGTTTTTAAAACAAGCATGCTTGGCCTGTAGTTCATTTCATTCTGTGCTTTTAAAACAGTGAGAAACTAATATAGGTAGCTCTTACTTTTGCACAAAAAAAAAAAAAATAGGTGAACAGCAACTTCTATGCCAAGGGGTGTTACTGCACCTGGCTTTGAAAAGTTAACTTCAGTGGGAAATCTTCAAAGAACACTAGTATATGTGTAAATTTATGGTGGTTCCCTCAGTCAAAAAAGGACATCAGATTTACATAAAATAGGGTTGTATGAGTCACAGAAGTAAATAAGATTCATTCAAGGAGACCTATAAGTGTAAATTTTCAAACATTACAAAAATTCATGTTTTAAAACATTTACATAGATGAATTTGTAGATAGTAATTAGATTAGAGCACCAAGTTTGCTTAAGAGCTATTAATTTATCTTTCTATAGGCATTAGACCGTAGAGGGGAGTCAGCTTTTAAAGGTATCTGGAAGAAAACAAAGTTATTGTGGCCCTTCTTATGGCCATCTGACAGGTAAAAGAAAAGGTTACTAAACATAAAACAAACTAGGTTCATTGATATGGCTTGACCCCTTCATTCTTTGGAGTAGCTAAGAAGTAATTTCTCTTTAAAATGTCACCTTGATATTAAGTAGACAGGTGACAAGAATAAAGCAAAAAAAAAAAGTTACTGAAAGGTAATATGATACAACACCAATTCCTACAGGAAAGTTATTGAGATTTTGGGAGTGAAAGGGTTTATTGCTGTTGATTTTTAAGCAACTTTCAATGTTCAGAACAGGAAACAAAGAGTTGCTGTTGATGCCATTGTTACGGATTATTTAAATATCAATAGGGGTGTCCCTCAGGGGACAGTTTTAGGTCCTATACTATTTTCTATTATGGTCAACGATATTAAGGCCATTCTACCAAATCAGAATTTACTTGTGAAATATGCTGATGATTTAACATTAAGTATTCCAGTAAAAGCGCGGGCTAACAACGGCAATTCAGCAGCTGAGGAGGTCCGATCNTAAAGACTTTTAATTATTATTATTATGTTCTTGCTGACAGATAGAGATGTTTTGGTCGCCAGGTGGCTTCAGTTTAATTGTTGTTGATTTTTAAGCAGTGTTCTTACTGACAGACAGAGCTGATTTGGTCACCAGGTGGCTTCAGTTTAATTGTTTTTTATTTTTAAGCAATGTTCTTACTGACAGATAGAGATGTTTTGGTCACCAGGTGGCTTCAGTTTAAGGTTGTCCTGTGTTTCTGTATTCTTGGAGCTGGAAGAGCTGGCAATGTTCTTGTTCCATATATGTACAAAATTATAGGTATGTGGACTGCATGGAAGGTATTATTTATTTGTCTACTTTTCCTTACTGGGTCAGGTTTATCTCAGTGTTTCTTCTTTTTCTGGGTCATATTTTCAGTAAACCGTCTCACACCTGGTGAGGAGGCAAGGATAACAGATCCATGGCACTTGATCTTGATCTATGTAGCATTGAGGTTTTTACAAGGAGGTGGTACTGGTGGTATTGGTTTGTTGAATAACATCAAATCCTTTCTGTGGATAAAGATTCAACAGTTTACCAGCAGGACTCTACAAGTGCAGCTCTTTGCTCATCTACACAGGTCAGAATATCAACATATTTTGGCTAGCTACAGCACTCCCAAACCAGGAGAAATCTGCTGTCATTGAACTGCTTATTTTAGTGCAGTTTTAACTTTAAAACAACTTTCTTTTCCTTTAAAGTTTCTCCATTTTTCTGCACATGACAATCTTATTTTCCTGCTCCCTGATTTGTGACAGTTTTCTTTTTGCTAGTAATCTATAAAATATGTTTCAATGTACATGGTGAAGTAGGTTTGAAAATGTACTAGAATTCAAATTAGCAATGACACTATTCATTAGTCCTTGAATCCAAGGTACAATATAAGTGGTTCACCCTTTAAAGGATGAAATGTTAAAGTTTCTTTTTTAGTATATTCACTGGTTCTTATGGTTTTAAATCTTACAGCCTATCACTCAACTGGCATCTAAACCGTAAAACTGGTGAAGTGATCAGAATGGTGGATAGAGGAGCAAACAGTATTTACAATCTGTTAAAGTATGATTTTCACTGTCATTCTTGAACAATTACCTGATTATATCAATTTCAGCAATGAATGTGATGGCAAGAAAATGAATGAACTCTTTTAGTCCCAAGATTTGATTGTTTTCTTCCCCTCTGGCTGCTACACATCACCTTTTAAATGAGTAGTGAGAATTTGCTGTTACATCAAGATAACACTTCCACCTGATAAGTTCGAGTGTTCTCATATTGTTTCCTGCGTAATGTACCGATATTATAGGGAGAAGCTACATAATAATTACTTGTAGTAGTTAAAGGGTTAATATTCAGCTGTTATTCCATATAGCATACATAAATCTGGAGAATTTTATATTTTGAGTGTTGCATCAAATGCAACTAAAACATACTTTAGGCAACCTGTTAGTCAGAAGTTCATTACAAATTATTGACCAACCTAGAACTTTCAAATGCCCTTGTGCAAAACTTGTCCTTTCATTTGGAGGGTTGAAAAAATATCAGGACCCAAATAATTCATTGAGATTAGTTATGACTTCACGTGCACCTCTGCCAATGTCATCTGTATAACTAGAACTTTTTGCAGAAAAGATATATTTGTACATTAATAAAACAGGACGACATTTAGGTGAGAGAACACATTTGCAACATAGAAAGGAGTGACAAGGATGCATCCAAACCAGTTTAGAGACACTTGTGTCTCCCAAATCATTCTAAGCAGTGCATGTCAGTCTGTGGCTTTTCTCTATATTTAGGCTTTTTGGAAAGCCACAAAACTCTAGAACAAAAATTTATCTTTCAATCAATGCTTTTCATTCAACTTATTTATTTTTATCATCTCAGTTGATAAAACCAAACTTATAATGATTAATAAAGCTTTGACTGAGATGATGTTTGGGTTGTTTGTATTTTTTTTTTCCATTTTCTAGCTATCTCCTGTTTACCATTCTTCCCACCTTTGCTGATATTGGAGTGGCTGTTGTTTACTTCATTGTTGCTTTCAATGGCTGGTTTGGACTGTTGATTTTCATAACTATGGCTTTGTACATTGGTGAGATGATATTGAAAAATAAAAAATGAATTAAGCTCTGAAATATAATTTACTCTTCCATCCACTGCATTTCAATACATGCCAGCTTATTATTGAATGCACTTATTATTGTGTTTACAAACCTTTTTTACTTTCAGCCACAACAATTCTTATCACTGAGTGGCGAACAAAGTATCGACGTGAGATGAATGAAAAAGATAATGCAGCCAAAGCAAAAGCTGTTGACTCTTTATTGAACTTTGAAACTGTAAGTAGTAACTACACCCTTGAAAAAGTAAATTCTTTTCAATAAAACAATGCAATGAGATGTTAAGAATAGGCCATTTTACAGTTCTGCGCTTGGTTGCCAAGCCTATGATTTGGAGTGAGACTGAAGGTGACCTCGTTGTGATAGAGACCAGCATCTATTTAGCATGATAACAAATTAATTTACATTTGAAAAGCAGCAACGTCTGTATCATAACAAGGTCACCCTTAGCCTCACTCCCATTCAAAGGCTTGGCAACCAAGCATGCAACTGTAAAGTGGACTATTTGTGATTTAAAGCAACTTTCATGTTAAAGCCTGGAATGAATTATAGTTACAACTTTTCTAGGGTTTTGTGAGAATATTCCATTAGATCACTACATTTTTGTGCAAGATTGCATTGACACTTTATGTGCAGCTGGGTAATAAAAATGGGGACCGTGGAAGTGTCATGAAAGCCTGTTGAATGGTGGCAAGTAGTTGCAAACTAGCATTGCATTTAGGAAAGGTCACTGGCAGTACATCTTAGTCATGTCATGTGACAGAAGCTAGAAGAAGCTCTGATGGTTTGGGCCACAGGCAGGGAGATCACATTTCCTCTTCTATTTTACCAGGTGAAATATTACAGTGGAGAAGAGTATGAAGTAGAAAGACTGGACATGGCTATTCAGGACTACCAGGTAAAAACATAATTCAACTTTTAAGTCTTCAAGTTGTGGTTTCTGTTCTGGTCATTTCATATTTTTTGCAAAGGCAAAATAATAAAATATCTGAGAATCAGTTGTTTATACACGGGTATGATAGCCATTTACATATTCTGTGTGTAATTTGTATCATAGAAGTGTGAGTGGGACACCTTTGCCTCCCTTGCTATTCTGAACACAGCACAAAATTCTGTAATCACTGCTGGTCTATTGGCTGGGACACTCTACTGTGCCAAGTTAGTGGTTGATGGACAGCTTGGGGTATGTCAGATGACCAAACCTCTGATTTTCATTTATTCGCAGTCATTGATTCATGACTTCATGGGTTTATTACAAACCAACATAATGACTAGGGGCCCGTTTCTTGAAAGTCCCCTTAATTTTACAGACCGGTAAAGCTGTTCTGTTTCCATTCAAGATGAGGATTTCAAAAGTTTTTAAAATGATACAATAAAACTATCAGCTAAAGAAACAAAAATGACTAGTTTGGGCGCCAGAACCCGCTTTCCTATCCTTTAAATTTTGATTTTAAATCATGGCTTTGGGTCCATTAAGTTACCCGGACTTTCGAGAAACAGGCCCCTGCTCCCAGTTGGCTTGTTAGCTCAGTTAGTAAAGCACTGCATTTGTATCACAGAGGTCATGGGTTCAAATCCTGTACTGACCTGAACTTTTTATTTATTTATTTATTTATTTTTTAGGCCTTATTTTTGCTACTGCGTAAGGAATGTTCACCAATAGGAAGATAGCTTTCATATTCATTACTGCAGAGATCGCTTTCATATTTATTTGACCAAACCTTTTATAGCTCTTAGCACAATATACCTGCTGGAATTTTAACGTTAAAAATGTGAAGACAGACAGTTACTTAGAAGTCAGAAATAATTTATTGCAACATCAGTGTTTGACTTCAGTTTTGTCCACCAACTGATGTCTTAAGCTTACCAAACCTAAGCTCAATTTTGTGCACAAATTACCTGACAAAACAGCTCAGAATTGTCACATTTCTCTGTAGGTTGGGGTCTTTGTGTTATTTGTAACATACACACTTCAGCTCTATGTGCCTCTCAATTATTTTGGCACATTTCTCTGTAGGTTGGGGACTTTATGTTACTTGTTACATACACACTTCAGCTTTATGTGCCTCAATTATTTTGGCACATTTCTCTGTAGGTTGGGGACTTTGTGTTATTTGTTACATACACACTTCAGCTTTATGTGCCTCTCAATTATTTTGGAACTTACTACAGGTGAGTAAAGAGACTAAACCAACTGGTGAAGAATGCAGAATGGAATAAGCAGGCTAGAAACGCAAACTAGAAGAATTTTTCTAAAACAGAGCTGGAGGATACTTTCATAACTCCACGAAAATTATTTGGGGAGGAAGGCTTTTTTATTCATTTGTTGTTCATTTGGGTTACTGGACTTAATCAGAGCTTGTACTTTTTAACTTCAGAATGATTCAGCAGTCATTTATTGACATGGAAAACATGTTTGATCTCTTTCAACAGAAAAGACAGGTAACATACTATGAGTTGTGTCTTTATCATTGGTTATTTGAAACTTCGTTTAGTTTGGATCCGTTCCATTTGAATACAGGGCGATTCTGCTAACCAGGTGTAACTAAAAAGGAAAGTGGCCACACCTCTTATGCTCTTGCATCGCGTTTTTTTGTGGGAGAAACTGTTAAATTTGCATCTGCTTCTGATAATTAGAAGCGATAATGGTGAACTCTACGATGTTGTCTTCACAGGTACTAGACGAACCGCATGCCCCTGATTTACGAGTACCTAGTGGCCTGATCGAGTTTCGGCGTGTCAACTTTTTCTATAATCCAGAGTAAGTATGCTTTAAAAAAATATACTGCAAATGGTAAGTAAGAGGAACGAGGAGCAACATGGAACAGCTGAAGTAGATTTGTACCTGATTCATGATGTCAAATATACCATTCTCCTGTAGTGTTTGGCAAGACTGTGAAACGTTTTGTTACTCGTACCTATTTTTCCCTTCTCGATCTGTCAGCGAGTATGGGGTACGGTAAGGAAGTAGTATTAATAAGATTTGCGGGTGGACATCTTTGGTCTACAGGCGAAATCAAAGGCTACCTTACATAAGTGTTCTCACCAACCTTTCCTCGTACTTATTAACATGCTTGAGACAGAAATGCTTTGCAAAGTGGTGACTTAAGTTTTTTTTTTTTTAATCACAGAAAACAAATTCTGAAGGATGTGTCTTTCACTGTGTATCCTGGTCAGACTTTGGCACTTGTTGGTCCGTCTGGGAGTGGAAAAAGTACCATTATACGACTTCTCTATCGCTTCTATGATCTGGAGTCTGGATCGATCTCTATTGATGGACAAAACATCGCAAAGGTCACTTATGTTATATCTTGCATCAGCTGTGAACAGCTCGTTTGGCTGGCTCATATCTGAGATTCTAAATCTACCCTTTTCTTTGATTCTGTACCGTAGATGCTGTAATAACGGCTTAATCCGTTTCGCGTCTCCAAATTGATCGGCGCCGCGCGAACTCTGCCAGTTTTTGTTTGTTTGTTTTTTTTTTTTTTTCGCGTAAACTGGAGAAAGGGATTTTCTCGAAATCTATCTGAAATTTAAGGGCGTCAGACAAACATCAGGGGACCTCGAGTAATCCATTCACTCACACTTAATGAAAATATCTCTGTTATTTTCTTTGTTTTCACCAGATCACTCAGAAGTCTCTCCGCAAGGCTATAGGAGTGGTTCCTCAGGACACCGTCCTATTTAACAACGATATAAGGTTGTGGATAATGTTACAGGAATGACAAGATGGGAGGGGGGGACTGGAGGAGGGGGGTCGTAGAAGCTTATCATTAACTATAAGAATAACATTAATGGAACAAAATAACTGTAGATTTTATGATCTTTCTCTCGCTTATACAAGTATTTAGTGTCCAAGTGAATTGTGATTTCACAAAAACTCAGTTTTCCAAACTTGTAGCTTGGATAGTAATTTCCAGAAATTTTTATCTTACAAACGTCTTTCCATGTGTTCTCTGTCAGGTTCAACATTCGATATGGCAGAATAACCGCATCTGAAACGGAGGTAGAGGAGGCCGCGGCAGCAGCCGACATGCATGACAGGATTTTAACTTTCCCCAATGGTGGGTGTTGGATCACTACATAAGCAAACTGTAACATTAGTTCTATCACTTTATTTAGTGTGTTTATTTAGTGTCTTTATGTGGGTGTGTATTTTCAAGACAACCTCAAGTGGAACACTCACGTTACTGAGACGATTAAAAAGGCCGCTAAGCGCCTTTACTTTTTAACTCAGTTAAAGCGAGCTAAGGTACCATCACCAGAATTAGTAAATTTTTATGTTGCTTGTATTCAATCTGTCTTACTTTATGGATGTCAGGTCTACCATTATAGTCTCCCCAATTATTTGAGCTTAAGTTTAGAGCGTGTCCAAAAGAGAGCCTTGAAAATTATATACGGTTATGATAATCATTATAGAGAAGTGCTTCAGATGGCAGAGCTGAAAACCCTAAGGGATCGGAGAGAAGACCTTTGCTTAAAATTCTTTAACAACATCGTCTCCAATCCCTTGGATTGTTTGTACCACTTACTGCCTTTCGATAACCGAGATCAACTTATGGAGTTACGACGACGCAGACCATTTAGAGTTTCCTTTAAAACAAATCGGTTCAGAGATACTTTCATTCCAGCAAGCGCAAGACATTTTAACTAACATTTATTATAATTGTATATGTAAATTAGTTCCCTTTTAGGTTTGATTTTATTGTATAGTTCTATTACATAATTTGTACACCTTTGCAATTCAGCTTCCAGCTGCTATTAAGGTATTCTTAATAAACGTCTATCTATCTATCTATCT